GACACTAAGTTGGTGAGCCTGCATAAAACTGGGTCCGTTCTTTTACGCAATCCTCAGATTTTGGTGGATCCATTCCATATCTTTGGAATTTTCGAACCATTTTCTATTCGTTTAGATATTTTTAGTGATTACTTTTTAGTATTTTCTATTTCCCGTTATCGCTGTTTCAACTCTCCAATTTTGCTAGGGTTGTTTTTTGGGGGAATTGCATATCACATATACAATTTTTCATTGTTAATATTTTCGTCATGGATTTATTAGATTTATCCCACGAACCCACTCCTGCGGTGGCCGCCACATTCCAATCCCCTCCCCTTTGGGCATCCAACCCTAGGGTGTGGTTTTCAAGCCAAGAATCTCAGTGTGCCGCTAGGAATTTTAAGTCTTCAAAGACTCAGTTCCACCACGTGGTTTCCTCCTTGCCCGAGCACCTGGTGGCCGAGGTTTTAGATGTAGTTTTAAAACCTCCCAAAGAAAGGCCGTTTGAAGCCCTAAGGGACGCAGTATTGGAACGCACAGGGAGCTTTAACAAAGAGCGAATCCGACGCGTACCGTAGGACATGTCTTTGGGCGACCGGAAGCCCTCGCAACTTTACAGGCTCATATGTAATGAGATGGTCAATATTCCTCACGACGATGCGTTTGTTTGGGAACTGTGGTTACAAAAGTTACCACAGGACGTCCAGTTCCTTCTTGCGCTAGCGCAAGACATACCTACAGAGCGTTTGACGATAATGGCAGATCATAGCGTGCAATGCCGTCAACCGTCCGTCGCAGCAGTTACCCCCACCGTCCCTCCAGCCGCTTCTGTCGAAGGCGTTTTTTAGGCTTTCATAGAAAAGGCAAGCAANTTTAGCCAGGATAGACAATCGAGAGGCGCACGATTTGATGGAAAGCCTCAATCCAGTGCTCGCCGGAGGTCAAATTCGCCCAACAATAGTCAAAAATATTGTTGGTATCACGCACGCTTTGAAAAGGATGCCGCCAAATGGATCCACCCGTGAGCGTGGAAAGGTCAACTCGTTTCGGGAAACGACTAGGCCGACGACTGATTACGGTGTCAACCGCTGGCACACGAACTAGGAGCTGCCTTTTTCACGTTAGGGACTCCATTAGTAGTGTGTATTTTTTGGTCGACACCGGTGCGGAAGTGAGCGTCATTCCTCCTTCCTCCACTGAAGCTCAAGCACTCACCTTGACTACGGCCAACGGTTCCACAATACGTACATTTGGTACCAGGAACCTATCTAAAGCAGCTGAGTGGCCATTCTTGATTGCTGAAGTCCCTTTTCCTATTCTTGGAATGGATTTCTTTACACATCACCGTCTCACTGTCGACACAGTCAAACGCCTGCTGCTCGACAGCACCAACTCTGTGAAAGGGTTGGCAACTGACACAGTGGCCATAAGCCCCGTCTTGAACAACGGTCTACATTTTGGGTTGCAACGTTTGTTAGAAGGTTGTTCTCAACCAGTTTCTACAAATTTTGCCACCGGTCACCACACGGTCACCCCAACAATCGTCACAGGCGGCCCAGCCGTACATTGCAGCGCACGTCGTTCAGCTCCGGACAAGTTGGTTTTAGCCAAACGGGAGTTCGACGTAGTGCTTAAGGCTGGTATAATACGCCCATCGCAAAGCCAGTGGGCCTCGCTACTCCTTATGGTGCCTAAGAAGGCTGTTGGGGAATGGCTCCTATGCGGGGTTTATCGTGGACTCAATAGTTCCACCATCCCGGATGGCTATCCCATCCCACACATGCCGATTTAACAGCTAGCCTTAAGGGTAAGTCAATCTTTAGTAAGATTTATTTATTTAGGGCTTACAACCAAGTACCTNCAAGTACCTGTCGACCTGGGGGGTGTACCCAAGATCGCTGTCATCACTCTTCGAATTCATTCGAATGCCATTTGGATTACACAATGCCGCACAGACGTTTCAACGTTTCATCGACGAGGTCCTTCGCGGATTAGATTTTGTCTTTCCGTATTTAGACGACATACTTGTCGCAAGCCAGGACGCCGCCTAACACGAAGTGCACTTACGCACACTTAGTCAACGTCTACAGAAACATGGTATTACCGTTATTGCCGCTAAGTGCGAGTTAGGTCGTGAATCCTTAGTTTTTCTAGGTCACTATATTGATCGTCGAGAAATCCGTCTGGTCAAGAACAAAACGCAGCAATTCGCGATTTTCCTCCACCTATGACATCGATCGAACGACGTCATTTCTTAGGGGTTGTCAACTACTATCGTAGGTTCATCTCACAGTGCGCCCAGGTAGTTCGTCCGCTTACGGACTTACTCAGAGGAAACTCCAAGCTTATCGAATTAAATACATCAATGCAGCAGGCTTTTGATGCCATTAAATTAGCAGTCTCCAATACTGTTTTACTGGCACACCAGGACCCTAACGCAAAGCTAAGTTTGGCAGTAGACGCGTCAGACATCGCGGCCGGTGCAGTCCTCCAACAATGGAAGGACAATGCCTGGCAACCTTTAGGTTTCTACTCCCAACGGTTTTCAGACGCAGCCACTAGGTACAGCACCTTTGGTCGAGAACTTTTCGCCGCTTACCTGGCTGTCCGTCACTTTCGTCATTCATTAGAAGGTCGTGATTTCATCATTTTCACTGACCATAAGTCACTGACATACTCTCTTAAGTCCTCTAGTGACAGGTACTCTCCTCGAGAAATACGTCACTTGGACTACGTGTCGCAGTTCACTACTAACATTCGGCACGTGGCTGGAATGGATAATGTAGTTGCCGACGCTCTCTCGCGCATAGCGTTAGTTTCGGGTAACACGATCGATTTGACACGTAAGGCACAACTGCAAGATTCCGACACGGACTTGCAAAACGCATTGAAGTCCTCTTTAGATCTTCAGCGTTTTTCACTATCCACTTCCGACGGCACGATCTCGTGTGATGTTTCTCACACACCACCTCGTCCTTGGGTACCCGTAAAAATGCGCAGAGTAGTTTTCGACACCCTGCATAACCTGTCTCACCCGGGTATTTGGGCTATTTCGGCATTATTCAGCCAACGTTTTGTTTGGCAATTTATGCATAAAGATGTGCGTATTTGGACACGTTGCTGTTTGGCATGCCAGAAATGCAAGGTAACCAGGCACACTGCCAACCCTATTGGTACTTTTGGCACTCCCGACGCCAGTTTGGTCAAGTACACTTATATATCGTTGGACCATTACCACCATCGCAAGGATTCACTTACCTTCTGACATGCGTGAATCGTTTTACGCATTGGCCAGAAGCAGTTCCGATCACCGACGTCTCGACCAAAACCGTTACTAAGGCGTTTGTTGAGCGCTGAGTACCTAATTTTGGTGGTCTTAGTATGGTAACTACAAACCGCGGCCCTCAATTTGAGTCCAGATTATTCAACTCGTTAACAGCCACGTTGGGGTGCCAACGTATACGCACCACAGCGTATCACCCTGCCGCTAACGGCCTCATCGAGCGTTTTCATCGACAGCATAAAGCTGCACTTAGTGTACATTCCGTCATTTCAAGGATGGAGGCACTCCCAATCGTCCTACTTGGTATAGGAAATGCCATCAAAGACGATCTCAAGTGCACGCCGGCCGAATTAGTATATGGGACTATAATCCGTCTTCCCGAAAAAAAAACATTTCTTAACACAAGGCCTCGCCTCAAGTAACGCCGGATTACGTCCAACGGCTTACTCATCATACGCGTAAGTTAACCCCAACCGTCACGCGACCACAGCAAAAAGCAGTCTTCATAAATCCAGACTTGAGGACTTGCACACACGTGTGGGTGCGCTGCGACGCAGTACGCAGACTGCTACAAGCTCCATATAACGGTCCCTACCGCGTACTTCGACATAGCGAAAAACAGATGGTCATCGATGGGAACGGTCGCCACGATACTATCTCCATCGACCGTACAAAACCAGCTTACGTCGACCGAACATCCGTTTCGGCAATCCCTGCCAATCCGAGGGTCATGGACACTACCACCCCCTTAGCCCCCGCCCGACTGTCGACCACACCAAGTTCGACAATTCTTCCCACCCCGGCTACACTACCCTCTACTTCAGGAATGCCTCCACTGCGTTCCGCTTTAGCTGGTTCAAACCCCAGTACCAGGGGTACCGGTCGTTCAGTCCGTATTCCAACTCGTTTTGTGGAATGCTTTTATTACTAATGCATTTTTTAACAAAAAACTAAAAGCTGTTGGTATCTTGTTTACGTATATACCTATTTATATATGTAAAAAACACAATCTCTGCCTATCACAGGCGTACTCTTGCATTGGTTCTATATGCGTACTCAGATTCTTTTTGTTTTGTTTACACTGTAGAACTGAGAAACGTTTTCAGTCGCATTATGAACAACACAAGGATTGCAAAACTTTTTTTTATTCGTATTTGTCGATTGGCAATCTTTTGCCGCTATGTACAGCTTGCACCTTGCATTCTACAGGGCTTTTTGTTTTGTAACCAATAGCCTAGATGGCTTAGGGCGATGTTGACTTTGCTCCTTATCTCAGTGTTGTCGTTCGCCCGGTTGTGGTGGTGGCTGGATGGAGACCTAGACGGACCTTCCCAGGAGTATCGGATGACG